AAAAACCTTCTCCAAACATTGTACATTTATTACTGTGTTGAACTTTTAATAAAATTTTCTTTGTTACCCATTCAACTTATCTAAACTATATAAGCTTACTTACCTTTATTACAAGTTATCCGATGTTTTCTCATTGAAGACAATTCTCTGTAGCTTTTAATGTTAAAATTTGTGTACTTGAGAATGTTTGCACTAGTGATCAAAATGCTATACAAATCTTCCTTACTGTAACATCTGTAACTTGTAATAAAATAATACTTAATCAGTAAGTAAACTCAAAGCAAAATTATTAATTTCTTTATAGCTATTTTCAAAGTTGTGATTATTAAACCACTTGATATAGCACCATAGAAAGGTTTCAATCAAGGTCTGTACAAAAACTAAGGAACACATTTGATAATCAAGAAATGAATAATATGTTCTCAAGAGGTGATAGGTGTTTAGTAAAAATAAAGTTATTCTTTGGGATGGGCAGAAAAATAAAAAAACAAATTTAAATAGATTGTTTTGTTTTTCAGACAAAACTCTACAGCTGTGCAGAAATTAAAATTGTAACTTTTCTTCGTGAATAACATGAAGTGGCAGAAGTAGACAAAATATCGACTCTCACAATATTTTTGAATTAAAATAGTACTTAGATTTAACATATAAAATTGTATTAAAAATTTGTGGTGAACATGTATGAAAAGCTAGAAGAAATCCTGTCTTCAGGTACAGTGATTTAGTAATAAGTTATTTTGTTCTTTCTACGCTTTTGTACATGAAATTGTATCATACATGCAAAATAGGACAAAACCTTTAACAACATGAAAATAATATGATTAATAGTGTTCTGCAGGTTTTTCTGCAAATTCCCTCAAGACTGTTGTACCGAATATTTGTTGATAAAAATAAACATTTGTGACATTTCCAAACAAGACATTTTTATATAAACTTAATAGATTTGTCACCCTGAAACATCAACAAAAGAATATTTTAAAAAATGACTAGTTTCAGCTTTAGGCCCACATTATGTTTAAGCTAGTTGAATTCTTGTTTCATTGTTGGAGTCCCCCAGTGGCACAGTGGTATGTCTGTGGACTTACAACGCTAGAATCCGGGTTTCGATACTCATGGTGGGCAGAGCACAGATAGCCCATTGTGTAGCTTTATGCTTAATTACAAATAATCATTGTTGGAAATAAAATTATTTTTCAAAACATGTGCA